AATATATGGTTAGCCAGGTTATGGTTAGCGATCTTAAATAGAATGGTAGCAGTTATTCGTTTTTTTGCCGGAAGAGGTATAGCATTTCGAGGCCATAATGAAGTTAAATATAAATAGGATCGTTAAAAACCGGAAATTAATTAGACGTGTTAGAACTGTTGACTCAATTTGATCCAGTTTTAAAGCAACAAATTGACACTTTTGCAAATAAAGGCAAAACAAATGTATATTATTTGTCTAAAACTATTTGTGAAGAGCTAATTGATATTATGTCTCTAAAGGTTTTAACGCACATTATTAGCGAAAAAAAGCAAAATACTGGGGAATTATCGAAGACTTTACGCCTGATATTTCTTACATGGATCAACTTTTTGTGATATTGTGTTATTATCTAAATGGCGTGTCATAAACTCAACGTGTATGAGCGATTTTTTTGTTTCCTACAAATTAAAAGCTACGAAAGTAAACCCTTGATCACTGACATTTTAGATCGACTGGAAAAATATGATATTGATATTAACAAAAATATGATATTGATATTAACATAAGTTAACAGTGGCATTGCAACTGTTGCTCACGTTAGAGGTGAGCGTCAAGGCGACATCAGGTTCCAGAAGTGTCTTGATGAATGTCACTTAACTCAGCTTATCACATTCCCAACCTACCGTAGTAGTCGACACGTCGAGCCTACTAGTACACTCGACCTTATTATATCAAATGAGCCAGACCGTGTAATTTTCATTAAACAAGGCAATTCTCTTGGTGACACTCCAATGGGCCAAGCACACTGCTTCATCGTAAGGCCAATTTACTGTTGCATGCCTCAACAATTTGCCAACATTACCGCTAAAACTTCGACTCATTTGGAGTCGAGCAAACTACGCAGCAATATCAGCACATATTGTAGCTGTTGACTGGGAAACAGTATTCACTGGACTAAATGCAAACGAAGATTATCAACTTCTAGTAAACGTGTACAATGAAGCCACTGACTTACACATTCCGTCAACTACCACTCCCTTTACAGGGAAACAGGAGCAATGGGTAACACCAGAACTTATTGAGGCGGTCAAAGCTAAACGCACCTCTTGGGCCAAGTACATTAATGCAGGTCGAGATACGCACAAATTTCTCAAAATATCGCATCGTACTGCCTGCAAAAAAGTTAAAAAAAAATAGTCAAAACTGGTAGGCAGAAGTACAAAGAGCTACTCCTCAGGGATTTCGAAAGCAACCCTAAACGCTTATATGCATATATAAGAAGCAAGTAGAGCATCAGTAACAACATTACATCGCTTGAAACAGTCAATAGCAACATCACAACCGATATATGCGCATCATTAAATGATTATTTTCAATCAGTCTTTGTTTAAGAGCCCGAAGGTTCAATGCCAGGCTTTGAAAATCGTACAGAAGTAGTTAGTGTCATCATTCCATCAATTTTCTCTATCGACATTGTACAAAAATGCCTAAACAGCCTTGATGAAAGAAAATCAACCGGCTACGATGGCTTACATCCACGGGTCCTCAGTAAATGTTCAGCTACCTTTGCCAAGCCTTTTTCGCTTATTTATAAACGCTCGTTTGCAACTGGTGTAGTTCCTTACTTGTGGAAAAAATTGAATGTAACACCTATTTTCAAGAAGGGGAGTAGGCTAAAAGCATCCAACTACCGGCCAGTCTCGCTCACTTCCATACCTTGCAAAATTATGGAAAGTATTTTACAAAAAAGAATAATGGAACATTGCGTTGCTAATAGACTAGTTTCTCCAAACCAGCATGGCTTTGTTCATCGTAAAGGATGCGTATCAAACTATTTAGAAACTCGGGACATCATGACGGCAACAACTCACTGCAGACACGCAGTAGACGTCATTTACACAGACTTGGCAAAGGCGTTCGACAAAGTACCACATAAACGCCTCCTTCATAAGCTGACGGTATTCAACGCGTTCTCGTTGATTGGATTGAAGCTTGGCTAAACAATCGACGTCAACGAGCGGTTATAATCAGCATTACTTCTGAATGGAAAGCAGTCACTAGTGGAGTGCCTCAAGGCTCGGTCTTGGGCCATTGCTATTCGTAATCTTTGTAAAAGACCTGCCGGACAGAATTACTTATCATATGAAACTGTTTGCCGACGACAGCAAAATAATAGGGATAATTAAAAATGAGTCGGACAGCATCACTCTCCAAGATGACGTTGACAGAGCAGTGGAATGGTCACACATTTGGCTCTTGCATTTCAACGTTGAGAAATGCAATGTAATGTATGTTGGGCGCGGATGTAACAAGTCGACGTACAAATACTCAATGTCTAACGTCGACGGCACCCGTCGTCCTCTCGAAAAAACCGAAGTCGAAAGAGAACCTGGTGTGATGGTCTCGAATGATCTTAAAATCAGACCGCAAATAGAGTCAGGCGCATTAGTAGCAAATAGAATGCTAGGGAGACTCAAAAAAACATTTCGCAGTCGCAGTTTTTACTTATGGCGCACTCAGTATCTCACTTACATTCGCCCCCATCTTGAGTTTGCTGTACTAGCCTGGTCACCACATTTCAGATACTACCATTCTCGAGCAGGTCCAACAACGAGCAACAAAAAAAATATCGACTATTAAACAACTGTCCTATGAAGATTGACTTCAACGGCTTGGTTTAACAACTCTTGAAGAACGCCGCAAAAGAGCAGATTTTATCGAGCAATTCAAAATCATTCGTAAACTCGAGCTTGTCAGTTTTGTCGTCCCGCAAAAATTTTCAAAAAGTAAAGATAAGTATATTCTAAGAGGCCATTACCATTAACTAAAACGTCAGATGGTAAAAAAACTGTGAGAAGCGATATAACTTTTTTTCAAACAGAATTGTCGCCCCATGGAATGCGTTTTCGCAAGAAGCAGTGAACGCCTAATCCATCAACGCATTCAAAAATAACCTAAGAAAGTAACTTTATAGATACAACTGCTGCTTTGTCTGTAGCGTCTGTATCTCCATGTTCGTCAGCATAGAGGGGCCTGGTGTAGCACCTCTTCATCAAATTATAAATGGATTATTGTATTTGTATTTGATCACTGAAATAAATAAATAAAAATATGCAATATCATATGATAATATAAATATGATAAATATTTATAATATAAATATGATATAATATAATATAAATATGATAAGCAATTATTTTGGACAGGCATACGATAATGCAAGCAATATGTCTGGTAAAAATTCTGGATTACAAGCACGTTTAAAAGAGCGAGGTGAGTAAGCTTTTTATATCCCTTGCGCTGGATATTCTTTAAACTTAGTAGGTCAGTGCAGTATCAGTGAGTGCTTCAACTCTATCAACTATATTGGCGTTCTGCATAGTCTGTATTCATTTTTTGTAGCTTCAACGCACAGAAGGGATTTATGAAAGGAAAGCATGCTACATTCAAGCGCCTATCAGATACACGATGACCATGTAGGTCAGATGCTTCAAAATGTTTAGTAGAAATTATTGATGCGATTCGTGCAGCGTTGTCTTATAGCTGAGGATACAGAAGAAAAGTTTGATACTCGTCATGAAACTGTGTGTTTGTTAAATAAGATCAATAAGGTAGAGTTTGCGAGAAATTTAGAAAATTTCTTTAAAATATTGAATTAGATTTGCATACAGCAAGCAGTATGTTACTTTTACTAATTGACTTTGTAAAAAATTTACGAAACGACTTTACGAGATTTGAGAATGAATCGAAAAAATTTAGCTCGTATATTAAAAAAGACTATTCTGATAAGAACAAAAGAAAAGTAATTAAAAAATAATGCAACGGAGAAAACCAAGTTGATACTTATATAAGTTGATACTATAAGTTATTTGAATTGTCAATGCTGTTAATTATTAGTATTATGTAATTGCAAGTTAGCGCAAAAAAAAAAAAATTGTTTTTTTTTTTTGAAATAGAACAATTTGTTTCATTAAAGTTACAACCTCCAAGTTTTTTTACTCATAAAAAAGATAAATTTGAATCTAAAAACACATTGATTCCTCTGTATGCTTTAAATTGGATTGTTGAAATAGATATTGATATATTTCCGAATGTTTATATAGCATACCGTTTGTTTCTAACTATTTCCATAACAAATTGCGAGGCTGAGAGATCATTCTCTGCTCTCAAAAGACTAAAGAACACCGATCAACAAGCTCCATAGTTGTTTAAGTAATATAGCAAGATTAACTATTAAAATTGTTAGAAACTATGGATTTCAGCCATGTCTTAGCTGAGTTAGCGGAAAAGAAAAGCAGAATAAATTAACTTAGCTTAATTCAATAAGATAATTCTAAAACATGAGTTGATATCAGCGATAGCTTTTTCAAGAGAGTCTTTATCAGCGCGCTGATAAAGACTTTCTTGAAAAAGTCTCTTTCATGGCCATGAAGGAGACTTATTATAAATTTATTAAAGAATAGTTCATTAAATATTTTACCAACTTGTTGCTCGCACGTTTGGGACAGTTGTAACCAAAATTTTAGAGTATTTTTGTTCACAGACTCCAATCATCACAATTTTTTGCAAAGCATCTTTATTTGACATAAGTATAAACATATAAATGTTTGGAGTTTGTTCCATATTATAGTTACCAACCTAAAACATCAAAAAATGTTCGATTTGCCCCTGTATATATATATATATATATATATATATATATATATATATATATATATATATATATATATATATATATATATATATATATATATATATATATATATATATATATATATATAAAAACTTTATTTTAAAGCTAAATTTTTTTAACTTTTTTGAATTTATGTCTTTTTGAACTTCATTAACTTTATTACATAAAATGTACTCGCATAACTGATGCATACACTTATGCGTAAAATGTACTCGCATAACTGATGCATATTCTTATGCGTAAAATGTACTCGCATAACTGATGCATACTCTTATGCGTAAAACTAACGTGTAAAACAAGAAGTGTCAACGTATAAAACAAGAAGTTGTTTAAGTCGTCATCATTTTGATGATGACTCGTTTATATTCCCAACAATATTTGATAAATTATTTTGATTTTCATCATCATTTATAATTTAACATTAAAAAAAAAAAAAAAAAAAAAAAAAAAAGCAGATTTTCTTTTTAACAAATTGTTGTCTAAATAATGACACTTTAAAATAAACATATAAATCGTTAGAGATGATAGAAGAAAGATAAATTAATAAAAGCAATTAGAAAAAGTTTCAAAAGAAGAAAAATTTTGATTAATGTAAAATACATCTCAATAAAATTAACTGCGTCGGCAATTAAAAACGTTCAAAATATTAAATGTTTTCGCACAAAAATGACAAACGAAAAAATTATTAATTTCAATTTTTCTCAAATAAAACAATAATCTAAAAATTTGGTAAAAATAAGCAAAATAATAATAAAAAAAAACAAAAGAAGTTTAAAAAAATTATTTTACAAGCATTGTACAAAACTCTTCATCTGCCAAAAAAAAAAAAAAGAAAAAAAAAAGAAAAAAAAAAAGCAGAGAATGGAAATCGAAAATTAGCATTTAATTTCCAAAGGAAACAATTGAAAATGAGAAAACCTTCTCCAATAAGAAGCAACAAACAATTGCAAGTTTGATTGGATCTTATTAATTCGAAATGAGTTTAAATCAAACAGACTCAGATTACCTCGAGTCCATTTGGTTTAAAATTTCTTGAACAAAACTTGTTACTTCATTTTGCGGTATTGTTTCGTGATTGACAATGAACAAGTGGTTCTATATAAAAAGAAAAATCAAAGAACAATTTCTTTCTTACAAAAAATTTCTTTCTCAATAAAAACCTCTTCTTGGCATCGTATATAAAAACCTCCGACCCTTAAGGTCAGCAAAAACAAGTTACGTTAAGGGTGGGAGGATTAAATTACGTTTTACAAAGAAATAACTTCTAACATAAATCTATGTAAAAGGATGTATCAATTATGCTGAAATAAAATATAAGATAATATTCAATTCAATTCAATTCAAATATATATATTCTGAAATAAGTTGTAAAATTTTAAGGACTTTTACAAATAGTACAAGTACTAATCTAAAGTAAAAACCTGCAACATTACAATAAAAGTGATTATAATAACAATAATAATAGTATTGATAATAATTATAGAAATAATATTAACAATAATAATAAGATGACGATGAAGAGGAATATTATTAGTAACAATAATAACAATAATAATAAAAATATAATACAATCAATATTAGATAATAGCAATAATAGTGATAATAACACTTATATAGTATAAGTAGAAAATAAACTTAAAAAAAAATTATAAAAAGAAATAATAATACTTATTATGTTATAAATAAAAATAACAATTTACTAATAAAGATAGAAGAATATTACTAATATCAATACTAACAATAACAATAAAAATATGAGAACAAAAAGTTAATAATAAAACTAGTAGGTATCAAGAGAGTAGTAATAATAAAAGCATAACAACATATTTCAGAGGCTTCAGGTATAATATCTTGCTAAAAAATAGTTAAAAAGGCAGTTTTTGGATTTAGTAATTGAGTCAATTGATTTTAATGGTAAAGGTAGACTGTTCCATGATTTTACACTTTGGTATTTTATGGATTTTAGACCATATTTTACTGAAGAATGATTTGGTACATGAAGATTATAGCTATTAGAAGATCGTAGATGATAGCAACAGTTTTCTCTAACAATAAAAAAAAAATTGTTAATGTGCTGGGTAGACATTTTTGTTTATAATTAAAGACAAAATGGCAATTTAATAGTTGAACTAGATCATAAATTTTGAGTATTTTGAATAAAAAATAAAGATGATCGGAGATTGATAATGCTGAAAATATATTATTTTTAATGCTTTGTTTTGTAAGTTGGATAATCTTAAAATTTCTTGGGTGCGGATTTGTCCCCAAACTTGACACGCATACCTAAGATGTGATCCAAAAATGGCATGGTATATATTGATAAGAGTGTCACGATTGACATAATGACGAATTTTAGCTAACATCCCATTCGATCTACATAGTTTTATTGACAAGTCCTTAAGATATTGAGAAAAAGTTAAATTTGAGTCAATTTTGATTCCGAGATTTTAGGTACATAACTGGATTGATTTTTTGACCACTCAGCCTAAAATTTAGGTGTTTACTGATTTTAGATTGTTTTGATTTAAAGATGATAATTTCAGTTTTACTAGTATTCAGAGACAGTTTGTTAGATCGAAGCCATTGAATTAGATTAGATAGGTCATGATTAATATATTTGTTTATTTTTTTATAATGATTTGTTAATTAAAAGTAAGTTAGTGTCATCAGCGAAATGGTAAGAAGTTGTATATTTTAATGATAAATTAAGGTCGTTAATGAAAACAAGGAAAAACAATGGTCCTAATACAGAGCCTTGAGGTACACCTGTAGTGCATTTTACTAAAGAAGATGTGTTACCGTTGATAGATACAAATTGAAACCTATTATAAAGATATGAGGTAAACTATTGGAAATTCCTCTAATACCATAGTATTCCAGTTTACTTAGAAGAACAGAATGATCAACAGTGTCAAATGCTTTCTGTAGATCAACTAACACACCACAAGCAAAAAGCTTATTGTCAAGAGCTTTTCTGATAACCTCAGTGATTTCAATAAGTGCATGAGTTGTGAAATGCTTGCTTCGAAACCCATATTGGTGTTTGTAAAGACATTGATATTTATCTAAAAAGTTGTAAAGTCTGTTGTGCATAGCTTTTTCAAATATTTTACTGATGTTTGACAGTAGCGAAATTGGGCGATAGTTAGTGTGGCCAGTTCTAGAGCCTTTTTTATAAAGTGGAATAATTTTAGCTATTTTAAAGACATCTGGAAAAAGTCCATTCTCAAAAGAGCTATTTATCATTGTACAAAAAGACTTCAAAATGATATGGGAAACAAGTTTGAGAATAAACGTGGAAATACTATTGATACCTAAACTTTTTTTACTTTGTAAACTTTTTATAAGATTTGATACTTCTTTTTCAGTGACTGGATCTATAAAAAAGGAGTTAATATTTGGGTTATTTAAATAGTCTGAAAAATTACATTTAGGTGAAACAATTTTTGTTAACAGTGTTTGTTGAGTATTTACAAAGTAATTTTTAAATATGTTTGATACAGCTTTGCTGTCTGAAATTGTATTGCCATTAAATTTGAGATTAATAGATTTACTGGAAAAGGAAGAAGGTTTGATATTAATAATTTCTTTTATACCTTTCCAAGTATTTTTTACATTGTTAAGATTATTGTTAAAAAAGTTGATGTAATATGATTTTTTAGAAAGTTTTAGTAAATTGCAAATGTTATTTCTGTACCATTTAAATTTATTAAAAATATGAATTTTAATGTTATGGTTTTTTGCTCTTATATATTGTTTATATAGTTTGTAATAGATATTGATTTTAGAATTCCATTGGTGATCCAAGGTTTTAATTTAATTTTAATTTGTTTAGCAGTTAGTTTTTTATAGGGTGCATGTTGATCAAGAATTTTGTTAAAAGTTTTAAAAAAATATTGCAATGATTCATTGACATTATTATTTGTTATTTGTATTTGCCAGCCTGCATTAGAGATTTCATGAATAAAATTTTTATTATTGAAGGTTCGTCTGAATATTACCTCCTTAGTTTTTTTGGGAGACAAGGAATGCTATAAACTAATGCTAATAAACTGAGCCATATGATCAGAAATTGATATTGTAAGATTGCCTGAAATTAAATCAGGAGTTTGGAAATTTAAAAAGATATTATCAATGTCTTAGATGTAGCAGTTATACGTGTAGATTGAATTATAGAAGGGAAAAAAGAATAAGAACACAATGTATCAAGATAATTAGAGAAAACTTTCGATTCATTATAATTTAACAAGTCCATATTGAAATCACCCATATAGACAACTTGTTTATTTTCTAAACTAAGCCTCTCAAGCAAGGGATTAAAATGATCAGTAATGAATTCATTAGAGTTCATTGATGGATGTCGATATATAATGCCAACAATAATATTTTGTTTTAGGGGATTGATGATTTCAACAAAAATAGATTCCAGGTATTTCGGAGAGTATACTATTAGATCACTACGAATAAAATAGTTTAAGTTTGAGCGTAAATATAGAAGAGCGCCATCTTTTTTGGCCTCAGTAGGACTATGCTCAATAGTAAAACCATTTATATTAACATCAGTTTTACTGGAATCGTTAATATTTAGTCTTGATTCAGAGATACCAATTACTATTGGAAGAGTGGTATGAGAGCTTATTAGACTGTGAAGACTGTCAATGTGATAAGGGAGCGAAGCAATGTTTAGATGTAGGTATAAATTACAATCATTATTAAGAACTTTATTAAGTTCAAGAATGTCATAATATTTATAGTTAATACTTTTGTTGGAGATTTTGTTTATATTGATGAATAATTTTTTGAAGTGAGGTGGAGATTTTAGAGATTTTAAATTATTGGTTGGTATAGTCTGAGACGATAAAGTTAAAGAGAGCTCAAAATCAGAAAGTGAACAAAATGGCAAATTTTTGTTGATGCAGTCACTGCAATACCAGTTAGTAGAATCTTTTTCAATAAAGCTATAGGTGTGTTTGTTGATATAACTACATTTAGGGTGCAACCAAGAAGAGCAGTAATTACATAGAATTCCTTTATGTCTATCAACCACTGTTTTATTGCAGAATTTACAAAGATTTCTTATTAACATGACTTATTATGCTTAAACAAAGTATAGAGAAAAAATAATTAAATAAAGATATCTACTATATATTTATAAAGAAACTGAGAGATTAAGACTAAGAAATGTTAATCTAGAAATGGTTACTATTTTAAATACTGAGGAATGATCAGTTATAAAGAAATGATTGTAAGATATAAGAGATTTAAGTACTTTACACAGGAGAATAAGTATTACAGCTAGATAATAATATTAGAATATTATTAACTTGATTTAGAATATAAACTTAGATATATTAATACCTCTAGTAGCTTTATACATAGTATAATATAAATAATATGTTATTTAAATAATTTGATGATAATAAGGTAAGTAATAATAATCCGTTATGTTATATAAATATATACTTATGTTATATAAATATATACTATACAAATATCCGCAAAACTCCGCCATATTTACATTATTTTCTTATTATTTATAAATTATGTTATATAAACATATACTATACAAATATGTAAAAAGATATTTGGAAAATTTTAATTAGAATAGTGATTTCAAAAAAAACAACTTTAGTAAATAAGCTATTATCAAAATTTCTTACAAGAAGGTCTCTGTACTTAGGCCTTTCTCTGTAATTCTTTTTCAAACTAAACAAAGTATTTTAAATAAATTTTTATTAAAAAAAAACAGATATATATATATATATATATATATATATATTTAATTATATGATGAAAAAATAAAAATAAAATTAAATACCATAAATCTACAAATTCACGAAAACAGTCTGAATAGTTTCCATCAGAGGGAAGACTAGGGGATGGTTCATTAACAACCGCCTGCAGTTGGTCAAAAGGTGTCGTCCAACTACTGTAAGGAAATTGTAGACTTGCCAATTCAACCTTTAAAAATCATTAAAAATGAAAATGAAAATAGCAATTACCAAAAAACAAAACATCTCTTATACAATTTAAATTTTAGCACAATATATACAATTATATACAATTGACAAACAATTGCATGATAAACTGTTACTTGGATGGTTAAGAGCCAAACCTGCCTATACAAAAAAGTTGAAAAAAATGAGTTTATCTTAAAAAAAGATTTATGTAGTGTTTTTTGCTAACACTAATATACTATGATTAAATTTTAAGCGCACTTAACTGCAAATACTTTTAATTTTTTTGGTTTAGTGGCTTATGTTAAAGACTTTTAAACTTTGCGTCTAATTGTCTCGTTTCAATATATTCATTGTATAGGCTGGTTTGGCGCTTAACCATCCATTAAATTGTTCTAAAAGTATAACAATGGCTTCTTTTAACGGAATTGGCAGGTACAGATTTACAACATAAGACACTTGAATATCATTGTTGGCGACATTCCAATTTTCTACTTTTTTTATAAAGTCAAAAGAGTTTTTTAATTGTGTCGGATTTTCATATAAGACTTGTATATAAATAAGGTTATATATATAAGGTTATATAAGGTTGTATTGTCTTAAATAAGAATTCTAATTATTATTATTTTTTTTTAATTAACATCTTCGCTTCCAACAAGGCTGCAAGCAACCACTAACTAGTGTTGGAAGTTACTGGAAGAGAAAAGATGAAGATTGTAGAGCAAGATAACGATTGACAGACAACTTAAAAGATTGCAAATTATATGAATCAGGAAAGCAAGATGAAGGAAGCGAATTCCAAAGAACTAATGTTCGAGGAAAAAAACTAGACGAACAAGAGTTTTTGGAGCACTTAGAAACAGTCACAGTAAAAGGATGAGACTTGATTGAATGACGAGTAACACGAGAATAAATTTTAGTAGATGGCACAAGAAACGCTAGTTCTTTAGAGCAGTGCCCATTATAGTATTTGTAGAAAAGAGAAAGAGAAGCAACATTACGGCAATGTGACAAAGGTTAAAGGTTGGCTGCAAGAGCAAGTCCAACTATGTTTACAATGCGTTTTTGCACCCTGTCTAAAAGAGAAAGGGCATCATTAGAAGATCCGCCACAGATATGGCAACAGTATTCCATACAAGGCCGGATTTGAGATTTATAGAGATAGAGAATAGAAAACAGAGTAAGAAAGTGTCGAGCTCTATAAAGAGATGCAACTTTATCAGATGCGAATTTTGCAACAGATTTGATATAAGGTTTCCAAGAAAAATCAAAAGTAAGAGTTAATCCTAGAAGATGAAGGGTAGATGACTCATTGAGTACATTACCGTTCATAAATATAGGAAGGTCTAAATTATTGCGATAACGATTGGCTGAAAAAAATTCAGTTTTATCTGAATTAAAGTTCACGAGCCACTGCGAGCCCCACGCTGTAGCAGAAGTGAGATCCTTTTCAATCTCAAATGCCCCCTGCAAGCAATCAGAGAGAGTTGGCTTCTTATCGTGACAAGAATAAATGGTAGTATCATCGGCAAACAATGCTACCTTAGATGTGAGAATATCTGGAAGATCGTTAATGTAAATTAAAAAGAGTACAGGGCCAAGGATTGAACCTTGAGGAACCCCTGAGATTACAGAATAAGAAGAAGAGTCCATCAAGGACAACTTTTATACTACGATTGGAAAGGAAGGATTCAATAATCTTAAAGAAAGCTTATGGAGAAGACCAGCATGCCAAACTTTATCAAATGCTTTAGAAATGTGAAGAGCAATGGCCTTCTCCTCATCTAATGCGCAATAAAAACTTTCGGTTATTACTGTTAGCAAATCAGCTGTAGAACGAAAAGACAAATCCATATTAATGATCAGAAAGTAAGTTATTAGATTCAAGATGAGAGATTAAGTGTTTGTTACTTAAAGATTCAAAAACCTTGCTTATGATAGGAAGAAGACTAATGGGACGGTAGTTTGATGAATCGGATCCCTCTCGAGAATTTTTAAAAATAGGGATAACAGATGCTGCTTTCCAGCAGGCTAGAAAACAAGACTCTGATTAGCACTTGTTAAATAGTTTTGAAAGGATAGACGACAGCTACGGAGAACACTTCTGCAAGACTATTACAGGAATGTTGTCTGGGCCGCAAGCTGTAGAAGAGTCTAAGCAGGAGATAACTTTAGATACAGAAGCTGGAGTGATACAGATGTCAAGCAATGGATCAACCTGTTTGATAGCTATATCAGGTAGAAAACAACTAGTGGAATCAAGAGATGATATTGATGAAAAGTTCTTAGCAAACAATTCAGCTTTGTCTTTAGGTGAGGTGGTAAAGTCTGAACCATACAAAAGAGGTGGAATTACAGGCTTGCCCTTATTATTGATACTATTAAAGATTCTCCAGAAGTCACGAGAGCCTAATTTTTGTGATGAAATACGAGATTTCATGATCTGAGAATAGCGGGCTTTGGCGTTAGACAAAACCTTTTTACAATGGTTCCTAGCAGTAATAAACACACGTCTGTTTTCTGGAGAATAGTTTTGCTGATAGATATGAATAGATAGCTGTACCCTCATTAGGAGATAATAGAATGAGTTGCCTAGTCATAAGAACAGAGACACAAGCAAAACCCATGCATCGGGTCAAGAAGATCCAGCATTCAACATCCTAAACTGGAAACAATGTATTAAAAATACATCTGCGCCAGCCTAATAGATGAAGAAGGGGTGCGAGGCTGGTCAACAGATACCATGGTTTGGTGTGCAAATGGTAGAATCACGATCCGAATATTTTAACAGCTATATTTAAAGGTTTTCTCCACAGAGCTTACTCCATCTGTAGCAAACATCATTTGCAAAATGAAATAAATTTTTTAACTGACATGTTTTTTTCAAAATGGGTACAATAAAAATCTATTGAGGAATATTACACACAAATTTTATCAAAAAAGACAAAATAAAAACACAATTCCATCAGAATGCAATAATCTTCCTGGAGTGTTTTTACCATAAGTACCAGGCTTTTCAGCAAAACTTAGAAATGTATTCCGAAAAGCAGGGTACAGAGCAGTATTTAAATCAAACCCAAATTTAAGATCTTTATTAACATTAAAACAAATCAACACCACCAAGTAACAGCCAGCCTGGAACCTATATAATAAAATGCAACTGCTCCAAAGTTTACATAGTTGAAACAAAAATGCAGGTAAATACGTGGATGCATCAACATCAGAGGAGCATTAATGAAAACAAACCTAATCAATCTGCATTAGCATTTCATAAAACCTTATGCAAAGAAAATATTATTTGGGAAAAAACAAGAAAGTTCAAGGTAGAAAATAAAAAGTTTGAAAGAAAAATTAGAGAGGCACTAGAAATACAAAACAACATGTGCTCTTTACAAAATGGCGGATTTAATCTTGAGGCCAATATGTCAAAACTATGTTTTGGATGAAATATATGTTTTGGAAGAAGTCATTCAACTGCTGACGTCAATAGTAACAATTTTATATAAACTTATATAATTTTATATAATATGATTAAAAATTATTGTAATATTTTACAAGCTGATGATGCTGGTATCCATAACCCAGCGAAAATTTTTGATATGATAAAACTATTAGTATTGAGAGAAACTGTATTTCTTGATATTTTAAAATAATAAATACACACACACACACACACACAAATATATATATATATATATATATATATATATATATATATATATATATATATATATATATATATATATATATATATATATATATATATATATATATATATATATATATATATACAGTAAACGCTCTACATAAGCAACCTCTCTATAAGCAACATTCTTTATAAGCAACCTTTATACAAACAACTTTTTTAGTTCAACTATTTTGTTTAAGCAACTTATTTTTTTAAAGCCAAATATTTGAGTTAAGTTTATGCTAATTCAGAGCTGTTCACAAAAACATAAACTCAAATTGTAAAAAATTCTGTTATTGGAATATGTTTGTGTTTTGTGCTTCTAGTATTAAATTGAATTTCTGTTAAATAGAATAGTTATTTCTGTTATTTTCTGTTAGTTAGTAATTTAATTAATATTTTGTGCTTTAAATTCAACCATAAAAAATAAATCAGAAGAAAAAAAGACGTATAATTTCTTTAAAGGATAAACTATCCATTTGAAAATGCATTAAAAATGGTAAGAAAACGAAGACATTTGCAACAAAGTTGCTAAATCTGCAATAAGTAGAGTAAAAGAAAATAAAGAAAATATAAAAGAATATGCATACAAAATGTATGTAAATCGAAGTAAGATTAAGCGAATGAAGACAATAAATTATAGTAGAATCAAAGATACAGTGTTTTCTTGGTTCTTGGAGCAGCAACAACTAAACAATTTAGTTCTAAATGAAATGATAAATTTAAAAGCACTTGAAGTAAATAAATTAAATAATGGACCTGGAACATTTGTAGCAAGTGATTGGTGGTTAATGAAATTTAAAAAACGCCACGATAGACAGATTATGTCTGTTTGTGGAGAGAGTATGTCTTGCAATGTAGAGCTAGCTAATTCATTTAAAAATAAATTTAAAAATTGTTGCAAAGTTGCTGAAATGGCTTTTTGCCTGAACAATTTATAATAGTGACTTGTCTTGTTTATAAAAGGTTGTAGTCTAGACAACATTGTTGTCACCTTAACTCGTTGATAAAAGCTTGCCCAACTAAATTAATGTTATAAACTTTGAAAAATCTGCTGTTGAAGAAAAGCAATGAAGGACAGAGTAATAGTTATGCCATGCATAAACACATAAATTAGATTTGATGATGATAGGGAAATTAATATCTCCTCATTTCTTCAAAATATAGATTTGCCAGTATATTACAAATCATCCAAAAATGTTTGGTAAACTTTCAGTAACTCGACACATAGAATCTAAAAACTTAGTAGATAATTCAACTTGTAATAGATCTGAGAACAATTTTACTAGTAACCCGACCTGTTTCAACACTGAAAAATGTAAACTTGAAAGATGTTTTTTATTTAGTGGTGCAGGCATGGAATGAAATTCTCATGTCAGTTATACGAAATTCATTTGAAGATTTTTTTTCGCTAAGTGATGAAATTCAATACAACGTTCTTTCGAATCACATTTCAGAAAATGATATTTCCTAGGCAAAATTGTATAACTCGATATTAAATTATTGTAATTTAGCAGATACTGAATTTATGGAGTACGCAAGTGGAACAATTGAGGCAAATCATCCATTTAACCTTAAAGAAAATCCTAAAGTAGAAAGTGAAATTTTTCCTGTTGAAGAAAATGAAAAAACGTTGGATGACTCCAATAAAAACATCAATGACGTTACAAACTTCTTTAATTTGGCAATAGAATGGGCAAAAGAAAATGAATTTCCCTGCAATGAGGTTCTTTTTTTACTAAAAATAAGAGAAAAAGCTATCATGAACAAATATATGTAAGTGTTTTTTTTTGCTTTGCCAATTAGTGCTGTACTAAACCAAAGTTTTATTAAAATTTGATTGTTAAATGTTGTTTTTTTTTTAATATAATTAATAACTACGATTATATGATAATAATAATATGTTTTATTTTGCAAAATAAAACTGAATTCATTTATACTACACATTATTTACAATTAGTAAAAATTCCAGATTGTATTTTTATACTCCTTTTTTCCCTATAACTTTTCCCAATAAGAAATTTCTTTATTGAAATTGGTTCAAATGAATTGCTTATATAGTTCACTGTATATATATTGCATAACTTCCTGATGAACCTACTGATGGTGAAACAACTTGTTCAAGACAAAAATAATAATATGGAATAAATGCTTTTTTCCATACACCCACAACTTTCCATACAACCACAATTTCGTTGACTGCAATTAAGGAACTCTCTCTGACAGTCTTTTTCAACATTTTATGTTGGTAAGAACACTGATAACACTTGACAAACCATTATTCTCAAATTAGAACGCTATTTAACAGCTTGATGAATCCAGTTGCTTGAAATTTTTTGTTGCTGGTAAATTTTAACCCAACAAAAATGCTAATCATTATCACAAAAAAAGTTCTAAACGAATCGCAAAAATGTTCTGAATGAATGGTAACACTTTTACTACAGAGTCTTCTTTTTACAACATCTTAAAAAATAATCTATTTTCTTGTTTTATCATTCACTACTGAATTCTCAAGAAACGTTCAAACCAATCCATTGCAAAATAACCACCAATTTACATTGTAAATCATTCATAATGATTTGATCATTATGATCATTCTTATTTCTTACTCCTGATTCCAGTTTTAACCTCTATAAATGTTCTTGCATTGAACATGTTATAATACTTATGGCTTAAGCTTGAATGCTCTAGCAACCAAACTTAAGTCATAGATAACACTAGCCTAGCTTCGTTTAACACTGTGTCATAAACTGGCCCTTAGGTTGTACTTTATTCAACTTAAGAAAAATATATATACTATCATACAGATATTTATTACAAAATTAAAAATTAAACATTTTAAAAATCCAGTGGTGCATTTTGAGACAGAGGGGATTTAAAACCCTATTGAAAATATTGATAATAGGAGGGCCGAGGGGTCTTGACACTCATCTTGCTAAATTTTTATATAAAATATAAATCTAGCATAAAATACACAAATATATTTAAATTTTTTGTTTACATCCCCCTCCCTACCCCTTCCCCAGAAAAAAGCATGTGCTGTGATTTTTGCAAAGTAACAAGACTCGCATTTTTTGGTACATTGTAAGACTTGTTCGAATACTAATGATAATAAATATTGACTTATACTAATGATGATGAATGATGCACTAAAATCTACTTTATTTTTGTAACATCTTTATGTTAAACCACCTCTAGATCTTGAAGATTATTCAATATCTTGTTACAGTTTACTCCATCAAACCCTCTTCCATGATAGCCATGTCTAAGGATGTATTTTCTAGACAGCCACTGAATAAAGTTTGACCAGAGAATAAAACCTAGATCGCCGAGAACATTAATAAAACCCATAAATATATGTAATGATGATGGAGGTATTTTGTTTATCAGTCTAACTTTTGGATCTTTATCAAGATGAGTAAGCCTTCTTCAAATAACATCTTTACACAGCTGTGTTGATTCTTTTTTTTCTCCTGCTGCTTAAAACTCTGAAAGATAAAGATCAAAGCTTCCATACATTCTTAGAGTTGTGGCATTCTTTTCACTTTCACTTTCAATATATAAACATGGATGAATGCCACCAAGGCCAGATACCATGTTAGCCAACTTTAAATTCAATGCAATATGAAAACCTAGGCTATCTAGCTGGATAATATCTAAAAGTTGTTTTATATTCTTATATGTTTATGAACATCTTCAACAATAGCAATAAACTGTATACGTTGCACACCAGAAATATTTGTCTGATCCTTGACGTTTTTTTTCTGCTTTTTATATTATTACTGTTAATTTCAATTTCACCTGCATCAAAGATGTTAACAATTATTTTCAATGAATCTCCACCTCCATCAATTGATACTTGTACAATGGTATTATAAGGATTCACAGATCTCTCATTATAATGCTCTTAACAAAATCTGAAGAATCTTTTACAAAAATCAGGTTTCTATCGACCTTTTTATCCCCAACTTAAGTCTTCTGACTTAACGACTCTCTCTCCTGTGGCCTTGTTAAGAGTAGAAATCAGTTTTCTAGTTTCTCTGTTTGAAACATCAAGATTTATTTGAAGTTACTTGAATGCTTCAAAAGAGATTGGTTGGATTTGATCTCTGTCTCTTTTGTTCTCAGACAAACTTGACAACTCTTATTATCTAAGGTTTTCCATAGGTGGCTAAATTCACCTGATCACCTGAATTTAATTGTTTTATGTTCATTTTTTTTCCTTTATAATTGAAGAAGCCACCTGCTCTGCACTGTGCATACTTTGTTCTAATGCCAATGATGTAAGGTTTTCTTACAGCATTGATTTGCAGCATTTGTGCTCTAAGCCACGACCTAAGTATATATTGTTGATAACAATTTGACGATACCAATATCATGTAATATTAAAATCTTCTGTATATATTACTTATTATTGACAGACATTTAGAGCAGATCTTTAATATGTTTTTAAAACCCTATTGAAAATATTGATAAAATTGAGGTAGAAAAGCTCTCATAAATTTCAATGGTAATAATGTCAGACTTGCGCTTCTTGGAAATCCAATCAATCTAAATAACAACTATTCAGAATTATTTGATCTTTTTATGACAGGGTTGACATCTTCATACTTTTTTTTAAACTTTAACAGATACTTTAAATTTTAACAGATGCAATTATATTAGCCTAACCTTTTCTATCTTCTGTTTCTACCTGGTGGATGGTTTCTTTCTTTTTGCAGACATGTACAAATTACTTTTGCAATTTCCACATATTGAAGGATAGGCTACAATTTCTTTCATGTATCCAGAGTATACATCTGTACCAGTTTTTTAATAGTATTTTGGACTGCAATAAGACTCTTTTTAGTTTTTTTTCTCCCAGCAAATACAACAATAACATTTTTTATTTACTAAGGACTATATTTATAACAAAATCATGAGTATTATAATAATATAAATTATTATTATAATACAAATTTAAAAAAACAATATCATGAGTATTATAATACAAATTTTAAAAATATAGAAAACTTAAATTTTAAAGCATTTCATGCCAAAAGTTATTTAAACAAGATTTCATGCAACATTTAGTAAAAACCATAAGTACTAAAAAAATAATTTTTACTCCCTCCTGGTAATTGATAAATAGTAAGACACCTTTTTTATATTTTGGGCTTTATGGTATCAAGTCATCATTTTTTATAAATAAGAGTCCAACAACATCCCATCTTGGTACCTTGCAAGGATCGCAACACATATTTTTTTCTGGTGACAGGGTGTAAACAAAAAATTTAAATATATTTTCATATTTTATGTTAGATTTATATTTTATAATAAAAATCTGACAAGTTTGGTGCATATGCCCCTCAGCCCTCCTATTATCAATATTTTCAATAGGGTTTTGACCCCCCCTTTTACCGTTCTAAAAATGCACCCTTGGATTTTTAAATTGTTAAATTTTTAATTTTCTAATAAATATCTATATAATGGCATATTTTTTTTAGTTGGATAAAGTACAACAGACAGAGTACTGATTACAAAGTACAGAGGGTCAATTTATGACACAGTGTCAAGTGATAAAAATTAAAATAAAAAACTCAAAGTTTTTTGGAGGACAAAAGCTTGTTGTTTTCCAACATTTCTCAAGATTTGTGCATCAAGAATTAAAACCTCAAAAACGTTTAAAGAAGGTAAATTGTTTTTAACACCTTTTTTGAAATATTCTTTTTAACTCAATTTGAACAGGAAAAGGGAGATTTTCTGTTTACTATTATCTGTTTAATATTAGCACAAATATGTTAGTTACAAATATATTTTGCATTTTGAACCGCAAATTGCAATTATAAAATTGCAACTTTTGTGCTATTATTGATAACATAATATTGACACAGAAACAAAAATGCCCCCAGGAACAAAACGCCTTTATACAATGCTCCCAGTAGCCCCTTGGTTGAAATTAATTTTTAAAAAATATCCATTTTAGCATTCAAAAAGATATGACTGTAAATTAAAAAAAAAAAAGGGGTCAAAAAAAGAAAAAAAAAAGATATGAATATTAATTTGCAGGTATTCAGAAACTATTTTTAAAGTGTTTCAAATCTTTTCATTATAAAAATTAAAAAACTTTCAATTGACTTAAAAAAAACTTACAATTGTAATACCCAAACTCCAAACGTCTGACCGTATATCATAACCAGTATCCCCTTTGTTTGGATTAATCCTCTCTGGCTAAAAAAGATATTTAAAAAACAATTACAAATAAATATATTTAGATTTAAATTTTTTAAAAGTGACTTAATTTAAACTTATACCGCCATGTAAGGTTTGCAGCCTGCACTTAATGTTTTTGCAAGAGAGTCAACTAAGTGACCACTAATTCCAAAATCACATAGTTTGATCTCTCCATCATAATTTACAAGTATGTTTGAAGGTTTTACATCTAAACCAAAAGCCATCAACATTAATATTTTTAAATTAGAAAATATACATTAAATAATACAAAAAAAGAATAAAAAAAAAATTTTAGACTTAAAAAAAAAGGTTAACTATGTAGTTTTTTTTACGTAAGTTCACATATTTATTATTATTATTATAGTTGTAGCCGTAAATTTACATAGAATGTACACACACAGCGAGCAGGGGAAACACCCCACTATAAACAACCAGTTTTATAAATATTTGTTCCAAACTTTTTCCACAACCAGGAGTCTAGTCTATTTTTGAAAGAAAGTACAGTGGAGTACATTTATTTCTAAACTTTAAAAGCAGAAAACATTACCCAGAAGCTTGTCTAAACGTTATTTAAACCAAAAACATGACTCTATTTAAACAAACGCAATACAACACATTGTACACATTATTAACACTAGCAGTAAGCAACCCGTAATACGGGTTGTTAGTAAATAAAATTAAAAAAAAAAAACGCGTATAGAAAAGCCTAGAAAATGACGTAAGTCGACTATTAACTACTACTATTAAATTAGCGTATTAATATTATCAGATTAATTGAGTGTTAATAATTGTATGTTGACAACAGAATGTATTAAAAAAAAATTAGCAGTCTATGATGTGACCGTTTGATGTTGTGATAAACAGAAATTCATAGATTTTACTTTTAAAATATTCATCAATGTTAATCAAAAAATTGCTTATCTCATGCTCGACACACATTTGTTCTAAACATTTTACAATTTTTAGAAATTATAAATTTAACTAAAATAAATAAATTACTATCTAAAATCAAATTTTTGTCGCAAACAACAAACATGAGAAACTAATTCAGACATTTATTAAATAGATAATTTTTATAATGTCTGTTTAAATTGTATTATTTTGTAAGCTGAATACTAGTAAATTAGATTTGAAACCATGATTTGCAAATACAATAGTGCTAAATGCTGAATGCTGGTCAAAATTAGATTTGAAACAATGATTTGATTGATTGAAACATTGATTGGTCAAAATTAGATTTTAAACAATGATTTGATTGATTGAAACATTGATTGGTCAAAATTAGATTTGAAACAATGATTTGTAAGTACAATTAATAGTGTTCTTACTTGAAAGCAAAAAGAACATTTAATTGCACTTCCAACTTTTAACAGAGATTCACAACTTTGAAAAAAACTCAAACAGAAAAAAAATCAAAATTTCTTCAAAACAGAATAATATATTTGAAATAACCTACAAAAAAATCAAGATTTTTTTGTGGCATAAGACTTTTAATGGAGGATGTCATGGATAAATATTTTTCAGCATTTTTGATCTTTGAATGCATTGATTTTCCTTTACTTTTTCTTTTTAGACTCTTTAACAATGGTAAATGATTGTAAATGCGTCCAAATAACAATCCTCTCGTAAATGATTGTAAATGCGGTTAAATAACAATCCTCTCGTAAATGATTGTAAATGCGTCCAAATAACAATCCCCTCGTAAATGATTGTAAATGCGTCCAAATAACAATCCCCTCGTAAATAATTGTAAATGCATCCAAATAACAATCCCCTCGTAAAATCTAAAAATGTTTTTTACTTCAGTTTTTTTACTTGTTTTTTTTTTTTTTTAGAATTATTAAACAGCTCACTGTATGATTAGAACTTTGATTTGAAATTTGCTCCATATTTTTTTCACTTTTGAGTTTTATATCAAACTTTTTTTTTTTTGTCAAAACTGAAAATGACAACGAACACAAAACACAGCCATTCCCTATTTTATTTTGTAATGTTTAAAATTATAATATTTTATAGTTCACATACTATAAGAATTCACAAAAATAACATGATAAATTTAGAAAAAATTTTTTTTTTCTAATGCTTATTGCTTCTTCAGTGTATTTCTTTTCTACAATTAATGCTCCAATAAACAGATAGTAAATAGAAATATAAACATTTTCAAATAATTTTCACTCTATAATTTCCAATATCATGTATAACTATGTAAAATGAAATTTTTTATGCCAAAGTTTTTAAACAATTTTGTATGTTAGAACAAAATCGTACCAATTTTCTTATATTATAGTTTAAATCTTTAATCCAATTAAACATTTTTAAAAATTGGGAATCAAACTAGGGACTTCTTGCTTATGAAACAAGCACTCTATAACTATACTACTGCATTTATTACCTGCATAATGTTGAACATTCACTATTATTAATTATAAATACCTCTATGTATAACATGTAATGTCTTATGTAAGTACTCAAGTGCTGAAACTACCTGAAATTAAAAAAAGATTGAAAACAAACAATGATAATAAAAAAATAACAATTAGACATTAAATACTTTTTTAAACAAATAATTAAAAAAAAAAAAAAGATTTTGAATTAATCTTTTCTGTTAATAAAAAAATGGTTTTCTGTTAAAAACTCTATTTTTAACAGAAAAACATTTTTTTAGCATTTAACATCTTTTATAAGTAGAGATGGAGCAGGGGTGTTATTAAAACAAAAGAAAAACATGCTATTACAAATTTTTTTCAAAATTTATAATTAAAATTTTGACAGATGATTTGTGTTCTTAGGTTTTTAGCAAATATGAAAAAAATGAATAAAATCTTAAGCATTTGTAAAATGATCAGAAAAAATCATTAAAAATAGACCTACTACAATTTGTTTTTTAGGTCCTATATTTTCAATGTTTTTACAGGTTCTTACTTACTGCTAATAATATAACTCTACATTTTGTAGTTTTTATTAATTTTACAAAAATAAAACTTACTGCAAACGAAATTTTCTTTAGTACATATTCTGGAATTTTTTGGTTTCGATCTGAAACAATTTTATAAAAATGATCTAATGAAGTTCTCATCAACTGCATACATATCCAAACATCACCCTAAATAATATTATTTTTACAGATAAGGTTCTAACTCAATGCAATATAAAGCAGAGATACGGAGTCCCAAAAGGACTTTGGCTTTATCTCGATTTTTCCCTGGTCTCCAGTAGCTCTAAACATGTTGATCTGTTACAAGAAAAAAAAAATTATGAAATTTAATGACTTGATCAAGATTATTCATAAGGACTCCGGGTTCAAAAATTGATTGTTCCTCTATGTTAAAATCTAATCTAAATCCTCTAAGTTAATAAACTTAATTTGTTGCTTATAAGCTTTTTTATATTTTAAGAGCTCCTGGATATCAAAAACTAGGAAGAAGTAATCTTTTTGTAACTTTTGAATCCGGAGACCTTTTTAGGATTCCGCATCCCTGATATAAAAACTTGCAATATAAATAATATAATATTATTTATCTTGCCTGTTATTTCAAATGTGCAAAGGAGATTTTGTCTAAAATAACTATAGATTAATAGTTATAAAAACAGTAAAAAAAAACTTTCCGCTTATTTTTCCTTCCTGTTTTTCACATTTCAAAATATCATATATTTAGAGCTTTCCCACTCCTGAATCTGTTAAAATGCTGTTATTAGAGATAATATTGTTTATGATAACAGTATGTTGACTGCTTAAAGTATGTATTCTAAATTCAAATTAATAAAAGTACTGTTATATATATATATATATATATATATATATATATATATATATATATATATATATATATATATATATATATATATATATATATATATATATATATAAATATAACAAGGGCGATTCTAGACTGTTTTTGACACCGACCAAATTTTAACGCCACCCAAATACGGTCTAATTTTGTAATTAGTACAAGAAGCTAAGCTTGTGAAGTGAATAAATATAAAATAATTCTGCATTTGCTCAAATAAAGTCATTTTTGTATGAAGATCATCTTTGATACGCAGGGTGTCCACTCAAAATTTAAAAAAATTCCAGCACTTTACTTTATTTAGATATCATTGGGGATAGTGCAAATCTGAGTAACTAGCATTGGCTACTATATTTGGATATTATTAATTTTAATACCAAATATTTATTGTTGAGATTACAAAAAACATGAATAATACTCTTTATACTAAAATGAACCCAAAATCAGTTAAAATAAAAAATATATAAAGTTTTAAACTTCTCCAGTAAAAAAAAAACGTACTGTAGATACGCGGCATTATCCAATGCTAGTTACGCGGTTTTGCACTATCCCCGATGATATGTTTTTTTAAGATTTTGGTGCTAAAACTGATAACTTTTTCCAGCATCAGTATTAAAAAAGCACTTAAATTGCAGTCTTAAAAGCACTGATTATATTTCCGAAGTGATACAAAAATTGTCTTGAAGACTGTAATAAATAAAATTGTAATAATAAATTTATTCTCAAATGTAACAATAAATTATTCTCAAATGTAACAATAAATTAGAATGATATGCTAGAAGAGATGATGCTAATTTTGACATCTCTGTTATTGAAATCAAGAATTTTGTTTAAATCTTAATTTCTTTTGAAAACTGCTTTGTGATAAAAGAACTACCAATTAACAAGAGCAATTAACCAGATTTTTCAATTTGTTTTTAATTTCACAAAACAAATTATAATTTAAAAGTAGAAGGCTGATGAAATTAACTTCAGGGGATCTTATTGCTACTGTCTGTAAATAATAGAACAGATAATGCTTTAAAAGTATTGATATCTAAAAGGACTGAAAAAGATAAATTAAAGAAAGTTATAAAAATAACTGTAATTGCTTTGTCTGGTAAAAATGCAAAAGAAGCCACCCTTGTACTTTTAGAACAATTAAATAACAACTTATCATAGAAAAACATAAAACTAAGTATACCTAAAACAAAAGAAAGACAACTCATAGAGCTTATTTCAATGTTATTTTTATTAAAACAATGAAATTCATTTAATAGAAAACTCAGGCTTAATCGGACTATCTTTCATGACAACTTCAAAACAACTTTCAAAACAACTTTATTATTATTTCTTTATTATTAATTTTATTTTTATTATTATTAAGTATAAAAATGGAACAATTGGACAGTCTGTCTGGATTTGTTCAGAAAAGGCTCAACTATATATGCAATAAAGAAATGTAACTTGGGAAGCATTAAGCAATCTTGAAGTGCCTTTTTTAATGCCTTATAGCTTTTACATTTTGGTTGTTTGAATTTCCAGAACATTCCAGAACAATGAATTTCCAGAACATTCCAGAACAAGAATAAATTTTTCCAACTTTTCCACACTTCGATCAACCTGTTAACCACCTTTTTGTTATCAACATATCTAAAATATAAATCAAATACCATTTAGAAACATTTTAAATTATATCTAGTCACATTGGTTCTTTTGTCAATATTTTTGTATCAGTCAGTGAGTCAGATGTCTCACAGCGAATGTCGCCTGTCTTACTATAATTGCCAGTAACTAAATGTCATGTAAAAACTTGATTGTCTTAAGCATGCAAATTAATGTTTTGAATGGAGCTAGTGCAGTAAAGTAGTTACCTTGTTGAGCAGAAGTAAAGAGGATAGAAAAAAGAACCAGTAACAGAGTTACTTCTCTCCTTGCAGGACTATCATGTAAAATATGATAGGTAGCATTCAAATATTTTCCAGATTCCATTCTGTGACAGCCTCTCCGTTTTTGAAACTGCCATGGGTAATATGCAAATTGCAAGCTCCGATTTTAATAAGAGAATGTAAAATAGTTTCAGTCAAATTTGTACTGATTTAATCAAAAAAATTTAGATTGACCGATTGATACTTGGTATAGTTTTTTTATTTCCAAATTTTTAACAATACCCTTGAAATGAGTTAATAAGTCTTGTTGCGTTGTATGACCAAAAAAACTTGATACATAATAACAGACATTTACACAATTTTTATTAACATCCCAGAATCTAATTTAAATATTTATTTCAGAAGTTTGAGTGACCTCATTTAAACTCTTATGAAAAGAATAGATATAGGTGTCTGACAGTTTTAAAACTGATTTAAAATAAGGAGCTAAACCATGATTTAACTTGTATGAAATTTTGCTTCCAGCCATCTGAAATTGTGAAGCATAGCTATAAATGAAATGGGAAACAAAGCTGTAAAACATCATTTGAATGTAGAGAAAAACCACTATCCACATTTTAAAGATACCAAATAATTTTAGCATTAGTAAAATCTAATATTTTGACACACAAGTCTAATATCTTTGATTTTTCTGTAATTGACTTATTAGAATCAGAAAAGACAGATTGTAAAGAACTATTCTCTTTTGGTTTTTCAAAGAATCCTTTCACTTTTCCTTATACTATATTGTGCTTTGCTCATTTTGCGTGCTCTGTCAAGGCTGAGCGCCCACTTAAGGTATTAAGTAGGCGCTCAGCCTTTGCTGTTGACTATTAATGAGTGCTATTGACCGCTTTAGTATCATTTTTAAGATCTTTCTTTAGTCAATCTTTAAAGTTGTTAATAAAACCATATTTTGATCCATGAAGATTTTATTCTTTGCAATTATTCTAAAGAATACTTTAAAAAGCATTTAAAGTAGTTTAACAATGAGTAAACTATGGTGCGTTATATAATTTCACCAAACTTAATAAAAAGTAGCCAACATGCGATTTAATATTTGAAGTTCTACTGTACTGTTTTTTTTTTTAATTTTTGTTGCATTTTAAAGCACACTTCTTCTCAACTAAAAATGAGTTTTAAAATTAGATTTTTTTTTTCATTTTTAAATGCATTGCTCAACCAGTCATCTTTAAATCGTCTTAGATGATTCACAATTTTGAATAAATTTAAATAATTAGTAATTATTATCAATAATTATATTATTATATACAGGGGCTATTCTAGACCGTTTTCGACAGCGCCGACTGTATTTGGGCTCCGATTTGGGCGCCGCCCAAATTAAAATATGAGGACATTTTTTATGACAAATATTGTTATTTTGCGAAAAACTGCAGTTTTTCTGCTAAAGTTCGCTGAAATAAGAAGGTACCGCCAACCAAATTTTTTTCTATAGAATAGGCCCTGATATATTATTATATTAATTACTAACTATTATCAATAACTAAAATAATTAAAAGAAAATTAAAAATAAAAACTTAAAACTTTAAAAAGTAAAAAAACTTAAAAGTTAGTAAGATTTAAAATCTTCAAAAAACACAAATTAAACAACAAAAAAAAAGCATCAAATTTCCAGCATCAATGTTGCTTAAAGCATTAATTTTCCAGTTTTTCCAGCGTGTTTTTTAAAAACAGCTTTTTTTTCAGTTTTTCCAGCAGAGTGGACCCTGAGTATGTATGTTAAATAGCTTGGATATGTGCATTAACCAAAAATTTAGTTCAGCCTGTATTTAACAGCCCCTACTATTTGTTAGTAAACTTAAATAGATTTTACTTGCAATACCATTTAGAGCTTAAATACTTTCTAAAAAAAAAAAAATTTAGCAACATTTAAAAAAATCAATGAAACCAGAGCCTGGACTTTTAAAAATTGTGAAACTTTGGCCACCAGACAAAAAACATTGATAACTAAAAAACTCAATACCTCTTTGAATAATGCACCATAAAAATGAACAGTGTATGGATAATTGCTTAAACGCATATTTACATCTAAATCCATAAGTAATCGACGCTGTTCAGTTGAGTTAACAGTATGGCGAATACGCTATAAAACATTTATTAGTAAAATTGTATTATTAAATTTATTAACAACTTTAATTGTTTAGATTGTCTTTTTTTATTAATAAAGCAAAAACCAAAAAATAAAAAAATAAATTACTTTTACTGCCATCTCAATACCAGTGGCAACATGTTTCATTTTTTCTACTACGCCATAAGCTCCTCTACCAAGTTCTGAAATTAATTGCAAATCATTTGCATTGCATGGGTAGCTCTATACAAGAAATGTTATCAAAACTTTATATTCTATATATTATATTGTGATTATAATATATAACTTTATATATTACTATTAAAAAAATTACAAAAATGGGAAAAAAACACATAAACTGCACTTCTATTAGAGTTGATAAGTTAATAAATTCACAACAAGAGGTAATCCACTACTATTGCTAGGGTGCTAGCCCTCTTAGGTATTAATTTTAAGTTTATGGCAGGAGGTAATCCATTGTTATTCAGAGTATAGCCCTCTAATCAAGAGAGTAGGCAAAATCTAATAACAAATTTTCTTAAACAGGTCAATTGGTATAAAGTTCACATTCACAAACAACTAAAGACATTCATAATTGATATAGCCAGCTTTCTAATGCTTTTTTCGAACTCATTAAATGAGTGATAAAACTAGAAAAAACTAAGACTAATAACAAATACATAAAAAATCTGAAAATAGAAATAAATAAAGCAGCTGATTCAAGCAAGTTTATCTGTGACTGGTCTCTTATAGATATATCTTAGGGTATACAAAAAAAAAAAAAAAGTCAACAGAGCAGCTAGTGGTAGCAAACATGGTCATCAATGAATTAGACAAAAAAAAGAGAAGAGAAAAAAATTTTCATGGAACCATAGAAAGCATAGAAGTGAAAGCATAGAAATGAAATCAAAATCAAAGCATAAAAATGAAATCAAAAGAAGACGAGTCAAAAGTAAATAAAATTTTTAAGCTCATAAATCAAAAAAAAAGTTATATAAATTTTGTCAGATAGCTGACATCTAAAACTAACAAACCAGACGCAATTCTTGTTGAAATAGCTGAGGATATTTTTCGCAACACAATATTAGCATCAGCAAAAAAAGTTGAGTAGTAATGTCGCACATAAAGATATATCATAGTCCAGATTTGCCTAAAGCTCAGAGACTCCAAGAATTTAACCTCAAAACAGAATGAAATAAAATCAATCAATCAAGAATGGACAATGATCCCTTTTGGTATGGCATCTGTGGCAGTAAAATTGCCAAATTCAAAAGAAAAATTAGAAATTTCTACATAATTCAGTGTCAGATTTAGATCAATGAAAAGGTTTTATATGAAATACGTTTTTCATGGTTTTCGTTGAATGCGTCTGTAAGTTCGCGATAACTTAACATCGGATTGGCTCTTACTTGACGAAATATAAGACTATTTATGTGTTCAGCAGTTTTTCTTAACCTTCCTGATCCTGCATGACGTTAGATGCCACCTGTTGTTTTAAACATCTTTAGAGTATAGATGTCGCAATTCTCTGAAATTTTTTATTTTCTTGCTTATTTTTTATTTTCTTGCTTATTTCTTAATACCTATTATTTGCATACCTATTATTAAAAAAAAATTAGGTCTTTAGGAAATATTGATAGGATTTTACGATGTTTTGAAAAAAAAATGTATTTAATTTTTTACTGCGCTTATTTTTTTTTAAAGCACTGTATGTATGTGTATATATAAATATACATATATATATATATATATATATATATATATATTATATATATATATATATATATATATATACATATATATATATATATTTATATGTATATATATTTATGTATATCTAGATATATATGTATATGTATATGTATATATATAAATATATATATATATATATATATATATGTATATATATATATGTATATATATATATATGTATATATATATGTATATATATGTATATATATATATATATATATATATATATATATATATATATATATTTTTAAGAAAAAGAAGAAAAAAAACGAAGAATGATGAATGAAACGATTGCTGCCCCATCCCAAACCCTCAGTCGATGTAGCAGCACTCCACTGCGAGTCAGGCTATTTGTCAGTCGATGTATGTACTGAAGCCCCCAGCAGCAGGCTGTTTCAGTATGACGTCAGATTTTTTACCTAAGTATGCAATACTATTTGTGTATATATATATATATATATATATATATATATATATATATATATATATATATATATATATATATATATATAACTTAAATGAAGTGAAGTTCATCCTTTAATCATATTTACTTAGAAACTACATTAAAATTAAAAAAATTTTTTGCACACAGTTTATTAGGAAAAAAAAAAACAGATATATAGAGACTTAAAGAGTTGAAGGTTGTACGAGTCAGGAAAACATGAAGATGGAAGATAGTTGCAAAGGGTTGAAATGCAGGAAAAGAGACTAGACGAATAAAAGTTTTTATAGCATGCAGGGGCAGATACAGTAAACAAATGAGACATAGACAGTTAGACCCATTTAGATAGAGTGGGTCCTGCCAAAAATACTACATTAAATATAAGGTTGTCTGGAAGATCATTAATATAGATAAGAAACATTACAGGACTAAGAGATACCTTAAGGTACCCCAGAAGTTACATGTCTATTACGTTATATGTCTATTGCTATTTATTAAAAAGCATGACATAACTCAATATTTTAATCTGATTTGGCTACAATTCACAACTCAATGAAGTCTTAAGTTTGTATATATATATTTACAATTTTTGTATATTATATACTTTTTTTTGTATATTTGTTTATGTACAAATTTTTTGTATATTTGTTTATGTACAAATTTTTTGTATATTTGTTTATGTACAAATAAATATATTTATATGTATGAATAAAATGGCATCGAATTTGTACCTAAAGAAGCAAATCTTTCTATCTTTTTATTGAATTATTGAAAGTTATTGAACCATTATAAAAATCTTGATAAAAACCAAGAAATAAGCTTCAGATAATAAAGCTTTTAAGAAAAAAATGGATAGCAGCTTCAAAAAGAGCAACACAAAGCAAGATCCAGCAGATGATGTCAAATACTCTCAAAATTATTTGGCTTTTATCTAAGTATGTAATATAAAATTTAAAAATTAATTGAAATAAATAATTCAATTAGCTTCATTGTTTAAAAAAATTACAAAAAAAAATATATGTATGTACAGGCTTTGCCAGGAATGGCGGGCTATAGCCTGCCCCTTGCCTCCACACCCATGCAAATCAGTTTACACAGGCAAAATAAAGCCCTTGCAAAATTTAAATTTTTGGGAAAAATAAAGTTAAATATTTTTATGTTTTTATTAAATTATTCTTTTGAAAACTTTTTTGTATAATCACACATTTTGCTTAATTGATTGATAAAGTTGTTTGTCATACTTTAAGTTGTTTAAAGTAGTACATATTTCCCTGTATTCTTCCGCATTATATTCTTGGTTTTTTTTGAAAAAAGTGGCAGTTTATTTAATATGCTAATATTGAGAAAGTGATACAAGTAAAAGCGAAGAAACTGCGTTTGATTATGAAATTGAATATATTCTGGGCTACTTTATTTAAAATGAATATTTATAAATAATTTATAACTATATATATTTCTTTTGTATGATAAAAATAATACTATATGATTTCTTCATATTTTATTTTTGCTTTTATACTTGCGCTATATTTAATACGTTTAATATATTTTTAAATAAAATTTATTTTCAAAATATATTTTACAGCAATAAACCTGATATATAAAATAATACTGCACTTAATACCCTTCTATTGGTTCAATTCATAAATAAATGTAAAATAGATTTTTTTTTTTTTTTTTAATTCATATAACACTTTTTTTGATACACGCCTATATTTTATGAGTAAGAAGTATATATTTAAGGAGAATATATACCAGAATCTTAAAAAATCTATTTGAACTAAGTCTCTCAAAAATTAAAAATTAGATTATCTCAAATTTTAACTTACATATCACATCAACATAACATATCTTCTCCTAATTTTTGAAAAGAATATAAAATCAACTACGAGTTTATAAAAGAGTATGATAGTAAATTAAACATTAACGATAGTAATAATTAAAATTTTAGTCTAAACAATTGAAAAACAATTGTAAAAGAATAGAACTTTGGTTCAAGGTTTATTTAAAAAAAGATTTCAATATAATTGTCATTATATTTTTATAGCTTTGAGATATCACTGCTCAATTTTTAAAATCTAATTTAATTTACAAAGCACAAGAAAAATGAAATAACTAAAATAGTGCAACAAAAAATGTTATATTTTATTCCATTATTTTAATAAGACAATATATTAATACTCAAATAGATCTTGCAAATTGCTACATTCATTGCAAAAATTTTTATGCGATTGTCAAGATGTTTGAATAAAGAAAAGTGATGGATGCGAAGGTTGTTTTTCTGCCATTTTTTGTGTTGCTTGCAAATTATTGGTTTGATTATATCTGGAATAAACTTACAACAATCTGGAGAACAAAAGAACAAATTCTAAATAAAAATCGAGAAACAAAACCAAAACAAAAACAAAATAACAAAAACTCACTAAGTAGAGCGCACACTAATAACTCTGAGCGAAAGATAAAAACTGCAGTTAACTTCCATAAACTATTTTCTCAATTTTACAAGTATCCTATTACTATTTAAAGTTTAATTACCCAAGTCTTTCGATGTTTAATTAACAAAGTCTTTTTAAATTATTTGTCACTCTCCTACTTGTAAATAATTGTAGAATTGTAGATTGTAGAAAATATTTATATACGATGACATTTTCATTCACAAAAAAGAAGAGAAATGAATGAACATAATACAATAATAAAGAAGAAGAGAAATGAATGAACATAATAAAATAATTAAGTTTTTATAAAACAACTATTTGATGTATAACAGTTTTTTACATATTGTTGTTTTATTAGAATGATTAATTATATTTTAACTTTTGAATATTGTTTTTATTTATTATTTAATTAATTACTAAACTATTAAATAAAAATTATATATAAAATATAGTTATAAAAAACCAAGAATATATAATACATTATTTAAAAAAAAAAATGTTAGGTTTTTTTTAAAGTTGTTTTTCTGTCTTTTTATTGCTAAAAAAACATTATTACAATTAAAACTTTTACTATACATGGCATGGAGAATCAAAAAATGAACTTTCAGAATAAAAAAAAAATTTTATCAAGACGTAATAATTTTAATTTTTCAAAAAGGCAGGCGGCCCACGTAGCCTGCGAAGACAGGTTTAGACAGGCTATTTGTAGCTCGTGCACTCAATTACTCTTGCCGAAGCCTGTATATATATATTAATCAGTTATGATCAGTAATCTGTGCAATCACACCGCAATATATGACCATGCAAATATGATTTTGTTTTGACAATTTAACCACAGTTTTTAACATTTTAAAAACCCACCAAATATATAAGGTATTTAGAAATAAATAACATCAAAATTTTTATCCTAACTAATACTTTTATATCAGCAAAGCAATTTTAAATAAAGAAACAAATAAATGATAATTTTTTTTGTTTAAAGTTTTGGTGAAGGTTGCATAAAATATTTTTTTATTTAAAATGATACTTTACGATTTTTTTGAGGAGTTTGTACTTATGATTTTTTTTTTTGGGTTGTTGGAGTAAATTGTAAACACAATATCATATGGTTCAAACCCAACCTAACAAAGTTTATTTTGGATTAACAGAAGGTAAATGAAAAACCATATATAACAATCACAAATCATCAATTAGTAATGTTAAATACAAAAAGTCCACTGTCCTATCAAACTATGTCTGAGATTTAAAAAACAATTTCAACAAAAACCCTATATTAACATGGTCTATTCTTGCCCACTATGACTATATGAGAAATTTGCTAATTCTAATATCTAAAACCTGAGGAACTGCTAAATAAAAGAACCAAAATTATATCAGTGCCGCCACAAAAATAAATTTTTAATAAAAAATTACAAAGCTTGCAACAAACATAACTAACAACTAACAATAACTATATTACTCTACTTCATGTATCTCTAGGCTAACTAATAAATCACTCACATACACAGCTATTGTAATATATTTCATAATATTATTTATATTTTTATACTAATTTTTAATTTTATATTTTTTAATATATAGATAATACACAATGTCACATAAACAAATATTTAAAACAAACATTAAACAAGCATATTTCACAATTATTGACTAAAAATTAATAACATTAACCTAACTACTAAACAATTTCTGTCCCAAAATCTAAAATACAAATATAAACTGTAATGAAACAAATTGAAGTTAATCAAGAGACTGTAATGCCTATGAAACAAATTGAAGCAAAATTAAACTTTTACTGCTTGCCTGAAAATTGTGGCAACACATGAAACTCAGAGTAGCATTATTATATTATAAACATTTGCATTCATGTATAGAAATATATACATATATATATATATATATATATATATATATATATATATATATATATATATATATATATATATATATATATATACACATACAATTAGTATTGCGTACTAAGGTAAGCAACTTGATGTCATACTGAAATAGCCTGCTGCTGGGGGCTTCAGTACATACATCGACTGACAAATAGCCTGACTCGCAGTGGAGTGCTGCTACATCGCCTGAGGGTTTGGAATGGGGCAGCAATTGTTTCATTCATCATTTTTCGTTTTTTTTTCTTCTTTTTCTAAAAAAGCTGTATGGATTAGGGTAAGCAAATTTATCATATATATATATATATATATATATATATATATATATATATATATATATATATATATATATATATATATATATATATATATATATATATATATATATATATATATATATATATATATATATATATATATATATATATATATATATATATATGATAAATTTATTATTAAAAAAATAATAATATTTATATAAATAAATATAAACATGGAATAAGATACTAACCTGACCATCAATTGTTAATGAGGTATGGTCAGATAAATTTCTAGGAGGTTCGCTAAATGAAAAATTAATTCATTATAAGTATTGTTTTTTTTATAGTCATCATCATCATCATCATCATCATCATCATCATCATCATCATCATCATCATCATCATCATCATCATCATCATCATCATCATCATCATCATCATCATCATCATCATCATCATCATATATATATATATATATATATATACCAGTGTATATCATATACCAGTGTCATCATTATTATCATAATTTTCTAAAAAATTTACTGAGTCAAAATTGTTGCATAATGTCAAGATTGGGTTTTAAAAGATTTTTATGCTGAGTGGAAGCATGATGACCCTTATTATATATAATAAGGGTCTTTATGCTTCCACTCAGTATGAAAATCTTCCACTCAGCATGAAAAACCTTGCCTTGCCTTCTTCATAATTTATAACATTTTTTTAATCCTGCATTATTCTTTTTTTTTTTCCATCACATACATATTGATAACAACATAAGTCTATGGAGCCCAATGTTACCACCTATAACACCCTTATTGCATGAAAAAATTCAAGAATAAATTATAATTTCTGATTTTGTTTGTCTTTTAGTTCCAACTGCAGAAGAAACTTAATTTTAACAAAACAGGAAGCTGCATATCTTTCCAAATCATGGCTGGGATCTCTTTAAGGTATAAGTAATAATAAAATAAAAAATTTTAACATTTAATTACCATTGATCTATAAACATTTAACCAATCCAACTGAATTTTATTCAGAGTTTATTGTGGCCATAGGGTACATTTGCATCAGTTTTTATCAAATTACATAGAGTGGTTTCTCATTCTAAAGGTATTTTTATTGGCACTATGAACTCAAAATTCACTCAGTTTGAAAATTGAAATTAAATTATTTGCTCTGAGAAATAAATATGTGTTCATGTTAAAGAGAATGATAAAAAAAAAATGTGCTTAGATAAACTAGAAAAACATTGTTCATATTGTTTACATAAAAAGATAAAAGATTCAAAATATATAATAAGTTGATCAACCTTTTTTGATCAACCTTTTTTGATCAATCTTTTTTGAATATTTTTATCTTTAAGGGATATTTATTACATTTGTTATATTTGTTATATTTTAACATAAAAATCAATTTTTCGAGAATATTTATACCCAATGAAAAGTTGAGCAAATAAATGCTGTTATTTAAACTTTAGGTTAAATCTTTCGCTACCAGCCGTTTAAAAAAAAAAGTATTGTAGAGTATTTGTACTAAAAAAAAAAAAAGAATTTGGATTTGGATTGGCTTATGCCTAGCATGAATATATAAATATTTCCAAAGGTTCTCCAAAAATTCTCCAAAAAAAATTATTAATAATAAGCTCAATATACTCTTTTAGTACAAATATTCTACAATAGTATTTTTAAATGTAATATCAAAATTCACTAATAGCAAGTTACAGTTACAAAGTTAAAACTAATAGCATTTAAGGAGATGGTGAAAATGTTCATTATGAATTTATGCTGCTCTTATAACTCAAATTATGCAGTTCTTAAAAGATGCTTACAGATCTTTTGATTTTTATCATGAATATTTGATTCGGGATTGTGGCGATTCACTAAATTTAACTTCACTAAACCAAACTAACTTTTACAACATTTAATCTAAATTTATATTGGATAACAATCCACTTAACATAATTACAAATATTAATAATTAAAAACAAATAAAATCAAGGAATTATTTACATAAATTACAGGGAAATAATTATGGAATAATTTTTTTGTTAAAAGGAAATAATTATTAAAACAAATGATCCTTGTCACACTAATTGACATTTTAGGGGTGGTATATTAATCAGTATTTTAATTTAATCAATTAAAGATTAATTATTGAAAAATCAATTCAATAATTAAAAATCCTCAATTTCTGAATTTGGGCGGTGCTAAATCTTGCACTCCATTATGCATATAAAAATTATAAAAACTTGAAACTCCCAACATTCTAAATATATACTTAAGGCATATACTTAATCTAAGACCTAACAAATGAGTAATATAAGTAAAAAAAATATTTGCTAAAATAATACTGAGTTCACTTTTCTTGAACAAGCATTAAAATTAATTTAATTTAAGTTTTAGTGGATGTTACATTAACATTAAACAACTGTTTTCATAGCAAAAAAAAAACGTTGACTAAAGAGGATTATATAGCAACTTTATCAAAAAGTTTTTGGATTTTTTTTCCAATAAATACTTATAAGTTGACTTTTTTTTTTCTCACACCACATTTTGGTTGATAATATTAGATCTTCTAATATCATTGGCTAATGATCTAGGCCTATGTATAAGAGCTGATGCTATGTATTAGAGCTAGGCCTATGTATAAGAACAGCAGTTGACCACATAGGAAGGCAGTTAGATATTTAATAAAGTGTTTTGTTCAAAAGTGTTTTCATCAAGTGTTTTGTTCAAAAGCCCAATTCATGTGCCTCCTAGTGACATTGACATTGTTGAAAGTGATGAATCAGCATCTATTCTTTTCTCTCATAAAAGTGATAAATATTTTGGAGAGGGATGTTCATGAAACAGCCTTTAGTGTTAAAATTCCATGTTGCAGATATGAAAGAATCATATAAAAGCATGAAAAAAATTGTTGTATTAATTAACTTTAGAAAACTTGGAACAGTGCTGACTATTAAAATTATTAGACTAGTGATGGGTATGCAAAGTGGTAAGACAAAATACTGCTACCTTATTTGCTTGTGGAACAGCCATGTTTATAACCAGTATTATTCATAGAAGCAGTGACCAGTGAGATCTGATTATGTCCCAGAAAAACACAATGTGAAGCACAATCTACTAGCACAGCTAGACAAAACTTATAATGGACTATGAGGCTATTGGAACAAATGTATCTCTAAGATACATTTGTTTGGAAAGGATCTCACTTCTGCTACAGCATGGGGCTCAAAGGTGGCTGGTGAACTTTATTTCAGATAAAACCCAATTTTATTGGAATACTGATGCCATATGAGGCAGATCTTCCAATGATGCCCTTTCTCTTTTAGACAATGTGCAAAAAACGCATTGTAAACAACACCTGCTCTTGCAGCCTGCCTCCAACCATTATCACATCTTTGTAATGTTGCTTCTCTTTTTTATAAAAACTTTAATGGGCATTGCTCAAAAGAGCTAGGGTCTCTACTAACTTGTGCCATCTACAAAATTTCATTCTTGTGTTACTCGTCATTCAATTAAGTCTCGTCCTTTTCTGTGGCTATTCCTAAGTGCCTTAAAAACTCTTATTCGTCTAGTTTTCTTCCTCGGACACCAGTTCTATGGAATGCGCTTCCTTCATCTTGCTTTCCTGATTCATATAATTTGCAATATTTTAAGTCATCTTTCAATCATTATCTTGCTTTATAAACTTCATCTTTTCTCTTCCAGTAAATTCTAACTCTAACAGTGGTTACTTGTTGGAAGCAAAGATGTTGAAAAGAAAAAAAAAAAGATGCATATCCTGCATTCTCATATTGACTTCTTTCCTGAAAATTTAGGTGACATAAGCGACGAGCACAGAGAACGTTTTCATCAGAACATTTCAGCAATGGAACAGTAATATAGAGGGAAATATAGTCCAGTTATGATGGCTGATTTCTGTTGGTTTCTGCAGATGGCCAGCAGTTCTCCACACAAAGAAAAAACAAGAATTAGTCATTACTTTCCCATTTATGCAAGAAAACATCAAGACAGTGACTAGCTAATTTAGTAAAAGAAATATTAACTTTCTGAGTAAAGCTTTTTTATTAAAATATTACAGAGTAAGACTAAATTTTCAGACTGGATTGACTCAACTTGACCTGCTTAAGACATTCTAAATGTATCCTTGTAATCAGAACATTACATATAATAATAGACACACTGTTGTTCAAGTTGTAAAAAATTGTTTTTAATTGTTGCACAGTGTTATTAGCAAAAAAAAAAATTTACACGAATAAAAATATAAACAAATTATTAACAAAACAAAAAAAAGAATAAGAAAAACAAAAAAAAATAATAAAAAACTTTCAGATTCACTTATTTTTTAATTAATATCTAAATAATATTTAAAAAAAAAGTTAGAAAATCATTTATTTAAATCTATATTTAATTTTTATTTATTTTTTAAGTTATTTAGGTGCACCAAGAAGTCCTAACGGCCTTAACAAGGAGTATCACAAAATAGCATTTAACCAGGAAGTGTATGCCTCCTTCAAAAATGATGTTAACTAATATATAGCCAAAGCCGGCTTTAAACCTTGGAACTCCTGTTCTAGAGCCAGAACTCTAACCACTACACCATGGCTGCTAATCAAGTCTAGTTTTTGATTTATATAAAAATATGATAATTCTATAAATATTCAATATACTCTAAACTTGAATAAAATATTACTTACTGAGTTAGTGGAACTGGGCTTGATGTAGTGAGCACAGGATGAGGAGGTCTCCTTTTTCCTAAATAAAGTTTTAAATAAAAAACAAATCAAGTTTTAAATAAACAGTTTTAAATTGAAAAACAAATCAAGTTTTAGATAATTATATTAATATATAAATATATAAATAGTTGTTCCATATATAAATAGTAACTTCCATACTGACAAAAGTTCCAAATTTTTACATCACATGCCACACTTGCCTCTACCTTATGGTCTCATGGAAATAGTTAACTTGAACAAAAGTATTATTTTAAATCAATACTTTTTTCATTTTTAAAATAACCATCTTTTTACCATTTTAAAATTGTCAATCAATGTTGTATGTATGTACACATATTATTTGACACTTTTCTGATTTACCAGAAGCTCACAAAAAAAGTCCATGCATACGTAATTTTATTATATACACATTCACATGTTACATTTTGAGTATGGCTATAATAATTGCTATAATAAATCCACATCACCTCATTATGCGAAAAACATTTGCACAAAAATTATCTAAATTATTTGTCATTATGTTGCATAATAGAAAGTGGTTTTTAGTATTACTATATTTAGTATTATCTTTACTTTTTATTAAATCAATAAATTAACAAAAACAACAGACAGTTATTTTTACTCTATAAATGTATTATTTTAACTTCTATTAAGAACTATAGGGCAACAACTATTCATACATTAACTTTTTTAAATTTCTGCAATAATAATAACTATTATTTTCATTATTACTATAAGGGGATGTTTATTTATTTTTTATTTTCAATATTAAATTACTAAATTTAATATTACTTATTGAAAAATGTTTCATATTAATAAATTTTATTCTTTTCTTGTTTATTAAGAAAAAATTGCTGTGATTTAAATTGCATTATAAAAAAAAAAAAAAAGTTTAACTTGCGTTTTGTGCAAATTTTTGATGTAGCCATTTATTTAAAATTTAATTTTGAGTAAAAAAAAAATGTTTAGAAAGGAAAACCAAAAATAAAATAGCGTTAAAAATGAGTTAAATTTTTTAAAGAACAAATAAAATTTAAATATTGAACAATATTTAGTAACTAGCTGAGATCGGACCTGTAAAAATACAGATCTTTGTAAGTCAAATAGACGTTACAAAACGAACTTTTCTATACTTTTACTTAAATTTCCTAGCTTTCTGGATCCGTAAAGTACGGGTCTTTACAAAATCTACTATTTCTATACATATCTATTCCACACTAATTATTTACATACCCATTCCTTATACTTATTCTTTAAATACCTATACTTTATGTACTTCAATATTTTTTAGTAAAATAATTTATTTTGAAAAAAACATTTAAGAGCAAAAAACTTAACATGTACACTATTCTCGCATATGTAGTGCTTACAAAAGACTTATAATTAGGTTTATTTTTCTGCTAAATGCATTTCATTGATAGCTCAGCGATTAAGAGCGCTGCCATCAGGGGGGTAGGGGTGATGGGTGGTCAAGACCTCAGCGTAATAAACTTTGAAATTTTTTCAATCTTGCTTATATATTTATTGGAAAAAATAATAATATAGCAAAAAAGATTTCTAAAATTTAAAATGAAATTTTAAAGTTTTCTCAGTTTATAGATATTATTTGTGATTATTCCATATAATGCCTGCAAACTCAACATATGCTAAAGACATTTACACTTATAGACAATTGTACTTAATGATATATAAATGGAACTAAGAAGTTCTTAGACCACTAAAACATAGTCATAAAAAAAAGGTTTATTCTTAATAAGGATTTTTAATGATAATCATAAGAATTTCTTATGATTATGATTGAAAACTAAAAAATAATATTAAATGCAACTCTAGAAGTTAAGCCAAAAAACTCTTGCGTATTGACATCAGTTTGTGGCAAAATAAACCTTTATGCATCAAGTTTGCTATTTGCATTTATCTTACATTTTTTGATCAATTTCAGGCAACATTTTTTTCAGACCATCCTCAGCTTATAAGGACTAATTACCTGAACTTTAAATTGAATTTAACTTAAATTAAATAACAAAAGTCTCAATCATGACACATATGCAACAATTTTTTCTCCCGACGTTTGATGTTTCTAGATATTTTAGCTTTTTAAAATCTTTTTGTTTGTTTAAGTGTATAATATTGTTACATATATTTGCATATAATCTCTATAAAACTTCAAAAGTACTTTGTATTTTAATATAATCGAAAAAAATTAAAAAAAAAGTTGCAAGTGGTGGGACTCGAACCACGGGTTACTTGAAGCTCGGCACACTATCCACTTGGCCATGGTGGCACATGATTGAATGAAATTTTTAAAACTATATAATGATTTTTTTAACAGAAATAAATACTATAGATCAAAATTAAGGAGAGTTTGATACAATGCAATTTTGAAGTGAAAGTCAAACTTTAAAACTTGACAAACGTTTCTGTATGGTTTAACTTTACTTAATTCGAAGTTTACATACGTTAGATATTGTCATACACTTTTGCTCACATTTGCTTACAACAAAATGTATTGCAATGCTTTCTGGCCATTTATCTTGGTTGCAAAGGCTGCCAAGGGTTTAGTGTCAAACATGATCAAATGGGCGCTGACACTACTACTATTAAGTTCAGCAATAATATATAGAGATATTTTTAAATAAATTTGACAGTTAAGTTAAACCCAAGCATTAACTTTAATTTTTACAATCTTAAATATATTTTTTAAATCAAAATTAAATTATATATCTTTTAAATTTAAATTAAATAATATATTTTTTTTATCAGAATAAAATTTTATATTTTTATTAAATTAGTTTTAAATTAAATCATATAATTTTTATCAGAATTAAATTATATTATTATGATCTTTGCTTCAAGCTTAAAGTATTAGCGTTTTTCAAGCAAAAAAAATCAATCATTACAATAAAATAAAAATAAAATAAGAATAAATTTTTAATTTTATTTGAGTTTTTTTCATTAGTAAATAGCGCTTATATCTAACATAATTGTCATTCAAACTTTTGTAACAAACATTTTTATGTAAATGTTATTTAAAAGTTAATGAGCTTTTTTTAAAAATTTATTACTTCTTTATCTTACGGTTTATAGATAACTTAAAAGTTAAAAAATGATAAAAAGTCACATAACCAAAAACCGCTTATTGCTTATGTAAAATTGCTTACAGGGTTATTCATTCTTATATGCGCGTCTATTCATTTTTATATGCGCCTTTATTCATTCTTATATGCGCATTTATTCATTTTTATATGCGCCTTTATTCATTTTTATATGCGCATTTATTCATTTTTATATGCGCATTTATTCATTTTTATATGCGCCTTTATTCATTCTTATATGCGTTTTACAAAAGCAATTGTAAAAAAGCAATTTGAACAAAAAAAAATCATTGAAGCAATTTGTTTTGAAAAAATAGTTTATTTTTTCAAAACAAACTTTTCTTATTTCCAGGTAAACGAGGTTAAAAATACTTAAAACGAAGACTTTTTAAATTCGACGATGGTTTATTTAATTTAGTATTAGTTCTTTGTAATTTTACTATTAAATTTCTTGATTGATTAAGTTACAGGGTTATTCATTCTTATATGCGCATTTATTCATTTTTATATGCGCCTTTATTCATTCTTATATGCGCATTTATTCATTCTTATATGCGCATTTGTTCATTTTTATGTGGTTTACAAAAGCAATTGTAAAAAAGCAATTTGAACCAAAAAAAATCATTTAATAAAATCATTGAAAAAACAGTTTATTATTTCAAAGCAAATTTTTCTTATTTCCTGGTAAACGAGTTTAAAAATACTTATAAGACGAAGACTTTTTACATTCGACGATGGTTTATTTACAGGGTTATTCATTCTTATATTCGCATCTATTCATTTTTATATGCGCCTTTATTCATTCTTATATGCGCATTTATTCATTTTTATATGCGCCTTTATTCATTCTTATATGCGCATTTATTCATTTTTATATGCGCCTTTATTCATTTTTAAGCATTTCCACTTCTCTTAATTTATCGAAGCGCACAGTTCAAAATCTTGTCGTTAAGTTAAACAGAGGAGAATTCGACGACATGACTGCATTCAAGTTGTCTTCTGATAAAAAACGAGGTGAAAGACCTATAAACGCTCAAATAAAAAATATTATCGAATTATGCGTACAACAAAACAATCTTTGCACGCAAGAAACAATAAAAGAAAATCTTTCTGCAGCAGGCTTCAACATGTCTCAGCCTACTATTTCAAGAAAACTCAAACGCTCGGATTTATCAAGAAAACGTGTTGTGCATGTGCCAGAAGAACGAAATTCAACACATATTATTAATGCACGCTATGCATTTGCAAGAGAAATTAACGGAATTTCAGATGAAAAACTTATTTATTTGGATGAAACTGGATTTAATGTGCACACTAACAGCACATATGGTTATTCGCTAAGAAGTGCGTCAGCAATTTTACAGTCGCCTGTAAATCGTGGCAAGAATGTTAGTTTAATTTGTGCTGTTTCAACAATGGGAGTGTTTGCTTATGAAACAAAAACTGGAGGCTGGAATGCAGATTCATTTTGTACTTTCATAACTACAATGATGGAACCAGCGATTAGGAATGCAAATGTGGAAGCGCCGGTGCTTGTTATGGACAATTGTAAATTCCACTGGAGTCTTTCTGTTAGGCAAACACTAGCCTCTCATGGTATAGCTATTAAGTATCTGCCAGCTTACACGCCACAGCTTAATCCAATAGAAGAATTTTTTTCTTCTTTAAAACATACTTACAAACAGGGAGAAAGGCCTCGAAATACGGATGAGGTAATCAGGAAACTTAAAAATATTATGGATACTACAGAGTTTAATATAGTTCCATTTTACAACCATATGCGTAGTTATATAAATCAAGCGCTGGCTCGGCAACCATTTCTTAAATAAATAACAATGAAAACAACCTAATTTATATTTTAAGTATGTCTATATAAAAATTTAAAAGCGTATTTATCGTTTATATTAAATTATATTAGAGATTT